GGTCATATGCGGATAGAGATGCAAATATCAAAGGTCAAGTAGGACTACTTTCACTGTTTATAAACAAGCATGGCGTCGCCCTCGTCATTCGGCGATCGAGTCAGAATTAACCATCGTGAATCTGGATAAACTACAGGGATAATTGCTATCATTATCAAACGAACAGTCTAATATACTGAAAATCAGTGTCTAACTGTGACGTAGCTAAGGCATTTTATAAGTTTTGGCAACTTTCGAGATATAAATTTCGAAACAATTTTGCGAGGGCACGAGGCCTAGCCAAGCGGGATCAGTAGCCATATCTGTGCTTGTAGACCTCTGTGGCTTGAAACCTTCTCCACAAATCAAAATGGTTGGATTCGGCCGAAATATGTTTGAACTGTTACCTTGTTTCGTTTTGTCGCTGTGTGTACATCTGACTACACTTCTTAACGTTATGAAAGGACAGACCGACTGTCAACAACGTCTGACCATGGCCGTGACGTCTCATAGACTAGAGTTAGAGTAGCTTCCCTTTGACAAAGGGCAGTTACTCTAGCGGACAGACCGATGGATTGCCGCGAAAGGCAATTAAAAACAACTGTTGTTTTGCCTATAGGTTGCTTCGCCACTGTATAAGAAACACATTTCAGTTTGAACTATATTGGCTACTGTCACTGTCCGACTGACTAATCACTTACCCTGTGACGTAATAAATATTTATGCGCGCATTCCAGGAAAACTCGCAATGTTTCGGTAATGTTTGTGAGAGAGGCTCGCTAAATACAATGTTTATTCCTAATGCAGGATATTTACCATCCCCAAACACACTCGCGTGATAACCTCTATGTACTAGTCCGGACTGATGCCGATTTATAGTGCTAGCTCACTGAGATACCATGCCGCAGTTTAACATGAATACCCCACTCAGACACAGTATACCGACTCCGAGCCAACCAGTCTTTGTTTTAGCCCCTTAATGCCGAGCGCCAGACAGGGTAACAACAAGTACCATCTTTAAACGTCTTTTGGTATGACGCGGCTGGGGATCTCCGGGCGGACGCTCTACCATTAGACCACGGAGGGGGTCCCATGAATAATAACCTGTGAGAATCTTGGATTCGAACTCACAAGCGACTCCTTGGTCTACTGGGCCACTCCTGTCCTCCCTTATAATAATACCGTTTACACATTTCATATTCATGTATGTGAATAAGCTCCTGTTTATTTCATATAAATGCAAAGGAAGTATTTGGGTGTTGAACCGAGTCACCTTAACATCTAAGATTTGCTTCAGTTTGGCTTAAGGTCTATTACACAAAGAGATCCGGTTTGAATTATATTTCCTGGAACTCGCTTGTGGTAAGAGGTAACTAAACCGGATCGGTTGGTCCGGCTGTTTGACTGGGTGTTGCCCATATCAGCCACCAGGTGTCTGGTCCAGCATCTCCTCGTTCAGGGCATCGTCATACTGCCGGAGTATTGCTGACCTCATCTCTGTAGGCTACAGGGACTGTATATTGACATCTGAATTGGAATTTCATTTGTCAAGCAAAAGAGGTCAATATAATTTCAAACCATGGACTATTTAGTGTCCTCCTCAAGCAGTCAAATCTGTCAAAAGGACAGGTTCCTTTTTCACACCCATATCCTTGATTCAAAGATGCCATCAGCGTTATTTCATTCTAGTTCTGCTATTTTGGCAAAACAACGAATAATTAGACACCCAGTGATCTAATGTCGAACAATTGAAGAACACTAACCTGAAAATCAAGTTACCATATTGTTCCAATGTTCCTCTATAAAGCGCCTTAGTGCTCGAAGGACGTCGCACAAGCTAGCAATGTCAATGGCAGCTGCATGTGATGTGGACAAATATAACACAACTCATAATAAAAGAATCACAATTTTATTCCTTGCATACCCCAATAAACTGGTCATACATGAATCCTTTCACAGCTCCAGACTAAACTGCTGCCCCAGACAGGTTGGGGAAACCTCATTCAGTGGAATGTTGCAAGTATCGACGCCTACTTCTAGTCAAGCACCAGGCTAAAATGAGACGGATCTTCAATGTCGAACGGGTACAGGTGAAAAATAGGAACACACGATTGATACAGATTTAATAGAAGATAACAAACGACATTGATAGGTCCAAAGCTGCAATCATCTACGACGTTTATAAAAAACAAAAACAAACAACAACGAAATATCAGGTCTCTGATCTCAGCAGAAGAAACAATATAGTAAGTAATATCCTAGTTTACACCAGGAGCTGCATCAACACTTCTACTGGAACGGCACCAGTTGGCTAAGGCATTGCTGCGTCCCTTGGCCAATGCAGTTGATGGTAAGTGTGTTGAATGACAAATTCAAACCGCTTTTTATCATTGAACCAATCTACACTAACTGTTCTAAAAGTATTTCAGTTACTTCACGTCAGCATGATATGGGTGCGCATTACGGTGCCCACTCTCATGTACAGAGTCACATCATCAGCCAAAAGCAATCTACTGAAACACCAATTAATTCCGTGAAATTATGTACAGATTGATTCTTATAAACGTTAGTGGCGTAACCCAAGTTGTATACTTGACAGGATTGAGCCAGACTGGTTTTTATTGCTTGGTTTGAGACATTTTTCTTGAATGATCCTTGCCGGTAAAATAAAAAGGAAATGTCAGATCATCGTTTTTTCTTATTCAAACCATTATCTGAAAATGCTGCAATGTGTGGTGCGTTCTGACACTGTCTGTCACAATATATTATGTCTCATTTCCTTGTCGTTTAATCTATTGCTGGGATTCGCCCTTATAATTGCATTCAGTTATATAAAAAAACAATAGTGCTATTAGGTTTATTATGATTCAACTGAAAGAATCTGTAAACCAATCTGTCTCACTCTATCCACGGGAGCATTGAAGGGATCTGTGATCTCTTATCTCATCAGTGGCTTAAAATGGAATATAAGATATACATTCATCAACAAAGGCAAATCAAATCAATGAAATATCTCACACCTTAATTGAAAAGCTAATGATCACAGACAACAACTCCATCACACGATGAATACAGTTCAGACTTGAGAAAACAGGCAATAAAACAAATATTCATAGCCTGACCCTTGATGGCAACAACCCCTAGCCAGCAGGTATAGCAGGGACGGCTCACACACCTGGTCAGTGTACATCTCCACAGTGGGACCCACCTGATGGCAACAACCCCTAGCCAGCAGGTATAGCAGGGACGGCTCCCACACCTGGTCAGTGTACATCTCCACAGTGGGACCCACCTGATGGCAACAACCCCTAGCCAGCAGGTATAGCAGGGACAGCTCCCACACCTGGTCAGTGTACATCTCCACAGTGGGACCCACCTGATGGCAACAACCCCTAGCCAGCAGGTATAGCAGGGACGGCTCCCACACCTGGTCAGTGTACATCTCCACAGTTGGACCCACCTGATGGCAACAACCCCTAGCCAGCAGGTATAGCAGGGACGGCTCACACACCTGGTCAGTGTACATCTCCACATAGGGACCCACCTGATGGCAACAACCCCTAGCCAGCAGGTATAGCAGGGACAGCTCCCACACCTGGTCAGTGTACATCTCCACAGTGGGACCCACCTGATGGCAACATCCCCTAGCCAGCAGGTATAGCAGGGACGGCTCCCACACCTGGTCAGTGTACATCTCCACAGTTGGACCCACCTGATGGCAACAACCCCTAGCCAGCAGGTATAGCAGGGACGGCTCACACACCTGGTCAGTGTACATCTCCACAGTGGGACCCACCTGACCAGAGACAACTCAAGTCACAAGTTTACGGGTTGTAAACCAGTACATATTTAGTGAACTTGGATCCATCAAGCAACATGTCCCGAAAAGGATCAATCCAACAGAAAATAGTCAAATTCATTTTCAAAGAATATGAGGTTCTCATTACACAGCATACATATATTAATTTGTAACTCTATCAAGAAAGAAAAAGTAATGTGATACATCCATGCTTCATTGACTTGTTGCAGTCCCAGGGGGTTAGTAGATGGTTAGATGAGTAAGGCTTTAAAGCACAGAACTATCACAGGCATGGACTTCACCATCTTCCTGAGGCAAGCGTGACCACTAGCCTATATCAAACCTTGTGGAAACAAGACTTTGATAAAAAGGCTAGTGGACACTCGCTCTTGTCCAGAAAGTCTATAAAAGTCTGCTGTAGGCTCTGTGACAAAATATACCGGGGCTGGGGAAGTAGGAGCGTGGGAGGGAGGTGGAGGGCTGGGGAGCATGTGTCTACTTCTTGGATTGCAGTTCCACCATGTCTGTTTATTGAAAATGTATTATTTTTGGTTTCTAGTCAAATTATAAACACTTTTTCAAAAATATGGTGACCATAGATATATTTACACCTCTATCTTCAAAGGGTCAGGACAATTTGTCAAAACATGTGAACTGCAGGGTTTCCTCACAGATAACATTTAGGCAAGAAGGAGACATCACCAAGGGCAACCACTGTGCTCCCCTTCTTGCCCATCTGATACTTTATGCACAGCAGTCAGAATTTCTGCTCGGATCTGGCAAATCAAAACAAGGGAATATGGCCAAGAAGCTAAACTTAACTTTCAGGTATGTCGATGATTTGATATCGTTCAATAATGGTCAATAGACAATTACATTGCACTGATTTACTCACCTGAGCTAGAAATAAAAGAGACCAGTGAAGGCCTCATCTCATCTGTTCATCTCATCTATTACATGGTCTCTGGTTTCATACTTAGATCTATGCATAAGGATTCAGAGTTACAAAAAGGCTGTATGACAAGAGGGATGACTTTCCAAATTTCCAATAGTCAACTTTTCCTTCATGTCGACCAATATTCCAGTAGCTGCTGACTTTGTTGTCTACATTTCACAACTTTTGAGATAAAATCGGGCATGCTCTCTCTACAAAGATTTCAAAGGATTGTTCAAAAGTTGTTTGGACAGGGTTACAACTTTCAAGGCCTTAGTAAAGCTTTCAAAACGATTTATTATAGTCATGTTGATGACATTTCCAAATATGACACATCAGTGACAAACTGATGTCTGATGCAATTCTCCATTTTGACTTGTACCAGATGTTCCTGTGTTCTTTCAGGTGAGCAAATGACTTGGCACTGCATGTGTTTGTGATGGGTGCCACAGGTGGGGCAGGATATGCTCACCTTTTGAGAAACACCTGGTATCATCACTATTTGCGTAGTGATTCATAAACATATGGCTGTGATATAGTCGGGATTGTACAAGTGTACAATATTTATGATTATGTTTCTATTTGTATGCTTCAAACAAAGCTACCATTTGGTGACTACAAACAGACCAATAGTTCAAGCTTATCATGAGGTCCCGGTGTCCAACTGCAAGGCAGGGTTGAGCCTCATCCATCACAACAAGTCATAGAAGAAGTCCAGTCCTTGACCCACAGCACGCTCCCGGTGTCCACCTACATGTAAAGCTGAGCCTCGTCCATCACAACAAGTCATAGAAGAAGTCCAGTCCTTGCCCCACAGCACGCTCCCAGTGTCCACCTACATGTAAAGCTGAGCCTCGTCCATCACAACAAGTCATAGAAGAAGTCCAGTCCTTGCCCCACAGCACGCTCCCAGTGTCCACCTACATGTAAAGCTGAGCCTCGTCCATCACAACAAGTCATAGAAGAAGTCCAGTCCCTGCCCCACTTCCCATATAGAGATGCCGGTCCCAAGCTGTTTGGCCAGGTCGAGCCTCAACTGGATGGAGTGTGGTGTGGGGAAGAACACCACGTGCTGTCCGGTACTGCTGCTGCATAAAAAGACAAAACATGTTGCATGTTCATTCACTGGAGCATCAGTTGCACCAAGTCACCTAGCAATTAATGTCTCTGTATAGTCACACCAGAAATTCTCTCCTTGAGTAACATACTAGGCTGTTTGAATAATAAAGTACTTTCTTAGAGCCATTAATTTCATACATCTCCTTTAGTAAAGTACATGTGTTTAATTTAAACATATTTTCAATCTCATTAAAATCAGATCTTAGTTCTCGCTACCGCTAAACAAAGATCTGAGGACATCCCATTAGGGATCACGTCAGAACGACCTTTCATCCAACCAATAAGATCAGGAAAGTGACAGTGGGGTATTCCAAATGATAGTAACGGGCTTAACAACTGAATCCATACAATCTAGATCATCTATTAGCCATTCCAGAATGTTCTTTCGTTCAGGTTTCAATTTTTTAATCGAGAATTTGTCATAATATGTTTTGAAGCGTAGTCGCCAATTTGAAATTAGTGCCGTAAAGCACAGGAAAGCTGCCTTCTGACTGGCTAATGTCGACTTCTTCTCAGTCATTCCATTGGTTGGTCAAAGTTCCCGCAAGGTCGTTCTGACGTGACCCGTAATGGGATGTCCTCAGATCTTTGTTTAGCGGTAGCGAGAACTAAGATCTGATTTTATGACATTGAACATATTTTGATCAGTTGTTCATGAACCATCTTCCCGAGGCAAGAGAGTTAACTGACTATAAAAGTCCAGTTTCCACCCTTGCTGAACTTGGCTGGTATAATGGAGTTACATTTTGGCTGGGCTAACAAGTCCATGCATAGTCCAATCAAAATCCCCCACCGAAATCGAAATCCGGTTTGTAAAATGTCGTGCAAATATCTGTCGATTGCAGGATTTGCAAAGCATGTGACTCGTTGTCAACACATATTTTCCAAGTCTTTCCATGTTTTTAATCAAGGTGCTCGCGTGATTTGATGCACTTCGCTATGAAAGACCCGTTTTATCACAATATAGACCTTGATTATCAATCAGATCGTTTTGACTGGGCGGCACCATTTTGTTTGAAACAAATGCGAGTGATACGAGAGGTGGAATCTGATTGGTCCATAGGAGAGGCTAAGAGGGGACATAACTCGTAATAACCACTGGTGGGCTACGGTCGAGCCCAGGAATTCCAGCCTAGTTTCGGCAAGGGTGGAAACTGGACTTTTATAATCAGTTAACTCTCTTGCCTCAGGAAGATGTCCATAAACAGGCTGTTTAGTGGATGTTTTGCATCACCTTTGATAGTCATAATGCTGTGTCATTTTACAAACTATTTCAAAGAATAAACAAAATAAACTTTATATATCATGGTAGGAAGCTGTTATAATACTTCACAACAATCCATCTTATCTTACCTGAATTCAACAATGTGTTCTGCGATATCTTCTCTCCATGAAATCTTTGGCTTGGTTTTAAGAATTTCAATATATCTGAAAAGACATCGGTTCGTCTCATACACCCACAATAACATAACTCTATTGTTAATGAGATTAGATTTGTAATTTAATATATTTGTCTGCTCTCAGTGTTCTTAAAACACAAATTCATAAGCCTAGGCTAAAAAAAAATATAATAGTCTTGGTTCTCAGGCACAGCCCACATCATCATACAGTCTTCCCCACGTTTTGTTTTTATTTCCATTTTTAAAAAAACCATAAAAAATCCTTATACTTATAAACAATGCACTCCAATACAGCACACAGTTACTTCCCTTTACATGTGCACTGCTTTACTGCGCATCTTGTGTTATGGTAATGGCGGCAATAGGAGTTTGTATGCCTGTTTATGTTGGGAGGCTTTTTCCCAGGTTGATGGTACACAACTGTTTATTTGGTTACATACTAGTTTGAACAAGCAAAAAAAACAAACCACCCGCCCTCACTATATTTTCAAAATCACTGACTGAGAACCAATTCTTATATTTTCTTAAGCCCTAAGAAAACTGTTAAATATATAATAAATAATTGCTTTGTTTTGGAAATCTGAACATAGAATAAATACTTTTGTTTACTCACTTGTTTCCTAAAACTGGTTCCCCAACTCCTGGGCCATAGTGATTGCCATAGAAGTTCAGTCCCAGTAGGATCTTATCTCTGTACTGGGCTGAATCAGGGGGAGATAATGTCTCCACACACTCTCTCACCCACACCAGGGGGCTGTTTGGTCCTGGCCTGAAACAAATAGAAAAGGTTGCTGTTTTGATTTGATATGAAACAACAATGTGTGGAGTTTAGAGGAAGCAGCTGTCTTGATTTGGCACGAAACAACAATGTGTGGAGTTTAGAGGAGGCTGCTGTCTTGATTTGGTATGAAACAACAGTTTGTGGAGGGTTGGAGAAGTCGTAGGTCATGAGACTGGGGCCCCCACACAGATGTCACCTACCTCTGAGGGTTGGAGAAGTCATAGGTCATGAGACTGTGGCCCCCACCCAGATGTCACCTACCTCTGGGGGTTGGAGAAGTCATAGGTCATGAGACTGGGGCCCCCACCCAGATGTCACCTACCTCTGAGGGTTGGAGAAGTCGTAGGTCATGAGACTGGGGCCCCCACCCAGATGTCACCTACCTCTGAGGGTTGGAGAAGTCGTAGGTCATGAGACTGTGGCCCCCACCCAGATGTCACCTACCTCTGGGGGTTGGAGAAGTCATAGGTCATGATACTGGGGCCCCCATACAGATGCCACCTACGGTACCTCTGGGGGTTGGAGAAGTCGTAGGTCATGAGACTGGGGTCCCCACCCAGATGTCACCTACCTCTGAGGGTTGGAGAAGTCGTAGGTCATGAGACTGGGGCCCCCACCCAGATGCCACCTACCTCTGGGGGTTGGAGAAGTCATAGGTCATGAGACTGGGGCCCCCACCCAGATGCCACCTACCTCTGGGGGTTGGAGAAGTCGTAGGTCATGAGACTGGGTCCCCCACACAGATGCCACCTACCTCTGAGGGTTGGAGAAGTCGTAGGTCATGAGACTGGGGCCCCCACACTGATGCCACCTACCTCTGAGGGTTTGAGAAGTCATAGGTCATGAGACTGGGGGCCCCACCCAGATGTCACCTACCTCTGAGGGTTGGGAAGTCGTAGGTCATAAGATTCGGGCTCTCATACAGATGTCACCTACCTCTGAGGGTTGGGAAGTCGTAGGTCATAAGATTCGGGCTCTCATACAGATGTCACCTACCTCTGAGGGTTGGAGAAGTCATAGGTCATGAGACTGGGGCCCCCACACAGATGCCACCTACCTCTGAGGGTTGGGAAGTCGTAGGTCATAAGATTCGGGCTCTCATACAGATGTCACCTACCTCTGAGGGTTGGGAAGTCGTAGGTCATAAGATTCGGGCTCTCATACAGATGTCACCTACCTCTGAGGGTTGGAGAAGTCGTAGGTCATGAGACTGAACCTGTCAACATATGGGGCCAGAGCTTCAAACTCCTTCCTGGAAATCAGCCCCGGCCTGTCTCTGTGGAGGACAATTTAACACAGTCAACTCATTTGTGTTACAGTGAATAAAACAAGTGTGTGTGAGTTTGGTTTAACACCACTTTTAACAGTTTTCCAGTTATATCACGGCATGTCAGCTTAATGTGGGAGGAAAGCCCTCGGTGAAACCCACGAGCACGGGTATGGTGCTGACAAACCTAGAAACATAATCGGGGCGAACCGGGATTCGAACCCACAATCATAGGTTTCTGGCGTGTCCAAGGGACGCAACTCTGCACAGCGAATCGCGGCACCTTAGACGACTGGGCCACCCGAATAAAACAAGACTCAAGCTTGACATGTAGTACACTACATTGTGCAGAGAGGACAACACAACTGACACCAACCCAAGGCAAACTCAGTAACATGATATTTATAATACAGCAGCTAGCAGGAATGAACTTAGACAAACCGGAGATTGGTTTGTTTATTGTTTTATGCCACAGTCAACAATAATCCAGTTAGATGACAATGTGCTATAATCAAGTCTGGGTCAGGTGCACCAGTGGTTGATATCACGAGCAACGTCCCAAACAGTTAGTATCTGATAACATGCAATCAACCAAGCCCCTGGCCTGACCACCACATTTCATATAGACACCTCTTATGACAAGCTATAGATTACTGGGGACCTATTCTAGTCCCATGGAAGTCTGATAGATCGTAGCTAGTCTTAATAGGCCCTGTGGAGATTTCAGGTTAGAATTGGTCCCCAGGAACCCATGTGTATAGCAGGGGTGACCATATGGATCAGGGTCAAATTGTACAAAGGGATCTTAGCGCTAAGGTGATCGCAACTCCCATACTTTAACATAGGCTTACGAACAATGTAGCGCTCAAGTTGTTTTGTACAACGGCACCCAGGTGGTCGCACTTGCTGACTTGGTTAATTGTGTCACCATACCCTGATGATGTGGGATGCTCATAATATCAATCACTGGTTTGAATACTTACAGGTCACTAGAATATTCCTGAGTGAGGAGATAAACTACAAACAAACATAATAGACATCCATGTACCATCCATTCCCTGCTGCCATTGTACCCACCCAATCACCATGTCCGTCACATGTATAATCTGAGCAAGGCTATAAAGAGGGAGTAGAGGTTTACACCATTTTAATAGAACCCAGGCCTTGTGTGCAATGTGCCAATGCTTGAACCACTAGCCCACTACCCTGGCTTTGAAATAGAATAAGGACACTGGTAACATCCTTTTGAATTTTTCTGAACAGTATGCAGCCAAGGAGTCAACTCACTTCCCATACAGGGGTGGAGGGATGACGAGGATGAAGAGCTTGTTGTCTGCTCGGAACATCTCTCCCATGTGTGTGAGGAAGTGCACCAGCTCTCTGAAACATAACACCGACTGTAACACCGACTGTAACACTGACTGTAACACAAACTGGTGGTTAGGCCCATCTCCCAGTTATCTCCCTTGGTAAACTGCATTTCAGTTAATTTTAAGATGTTCACAACCAAATAGCAATACACCATGGACAAATTAGGAAATCACTATATGACACTGATACCACAAAAGCAGTCTACGACTTGAGCCACAAGACTGAAGTCCAAGTCAAGTAAATTATTTGTCTTATAAGCTCAGGTAATAAATGCCAAGACAATAAATGTACCAAATAGTTTGGGAAAGTAGTGTCAAAAGTTTTTGTTAGAGACTGGTGTAAACTATAGCTGTATTAGATGTTATAACTTTAAAGAAATAAAATCGTAACTCTCCATATAATAATAATGCATTGTGGGAAGGTAGAAGTAACTTAACTCTTTCAAAATATACTCACCGACAAAAGAAACATGAATATCATACATGTTTGTTAATATATGAAGAATTACTCATATTCAAGAGATATTAGATTGGTTCGATGCACAAACAAACATACTGGTTTATATGTTGTGTGAATCAACGCTCGTGAACACACCACATGTGACGTCATAGATCCATGACTCGAGATGCACCATTTGTCTCGTGCAGGATTAGCGTGTAAAGTTTGAAATAATGTGCAGGATATCGTGATAAGAAAAAAGACATGCTGTGGTAACACTTGACTGATTGTTAAGTGTACACACTGGAAACATCTCTTCTTAACGTACATACTTCTCCATATGTTTCTATGGTTCGCGTTTCTGTTGGTGGTGAGTATAGTATTGCAGTAGTTAGTCATGACCGGTAAGTCATCCTGATCAACAAATACCACTCACTCCCTCATATGTCCTCCGAGTTGAGACCAGATTTCAACCACGATACCGGGCATCCCTTGTTTCTGAAACAGGAAACGGGAAATATGACATGGTGGTCATGTGAGCTAACATTAGTTGCATGACTTTCGTGATTCTCAGTTACAAATTGCATCATCCATTCCCCACAAAGACCTGGGAATGACATTTGAATGGACGCTGTTGATCACGGTAATAATTTCGTATGCTGTGAATGTGGCACTGATGTGGAGGCTTTGTTATCAATTTGAATTTGATGGCCAAACCATTAATATGTGTTATTTTGATACATATCAAACATGATGATTGCAACAGTAGCTGGCTTTCATTAGGAAGCAGTGGTGGTGGTGTGGTGTGGTGTGGTGTGGTGTGGTGTGGTGTGTGTGTGTATGTGTGTGTGTTCATCGGTGGTCCAGACAAGTAAGGTGCTGCAATTTGCTGTGCAGAGTTGCATCCCTTGGGCATGCCAGGAACCTGTGGTTCAAATGGGTTCAAATCCCAGTTTGGCCTTATTATGTTTCAAGGTTTGTTAGCACTTCAGGCTTTCCTCCCACATTCTGCTGACATGCTGTGTCAACTTGAATACAGTTCCAAGTGGCGTTAAACTCAACTCACTCACTTTTAACAATAGCCATAAGATGCTGATACAGGAGTTGGTGTCAAACCCCCATTACTTCAGCATGTTATGTTATTGCATGGTAAGCATGATGAAATAAAGATGTATATTTTATCAAAAGAGCTGGAATTTGGGTGTCTTAAATCTATAGAATACCATGAAAAGGAACACAAACCTTAAGGAACTTGAGAATAGTGTTGATACAATCCTCTATGAGATCCTCACTAGCAAACACTGCCTTGTAATCACTGTAGTTCCACCCATCAAACAACACACGAGGCACTGTGACAAAACAGTCATATCATCATCACAAGTTTACCATCATGCAAGGTGATACTTCTGGTAGAGAAACATTCAAAAATAAACGTTTATGTCACCTTTCAACATCATATAAACTTAATCATCATCATGAGACACACGAGTGAATGACTTTTTCATTGCTACAGGAATATTTCAGCTATATCTAGACGGCCTGCACATAACCTGGTAACTCAACAAACCAGTGATTGAAAGCATGAGCAATGATCCATGCCATCAGGGCACAGCGGCACACACTCAGCCAAGTCACAGATCCCAGTCTCAGTCAGGTCTTACGATAAGCAGGAGGTACTGTGAACCAATGCTGCTTCTGTATCCTGCAGGGACACCTCAAACACAAGTGTTTCAAGGGAGATAAGGTTAATGGTCCCCTGCAATATAGTTTTCAGATATCTCAGTGCGCAACAAAACTTAAAGTCTGGAGTAGACAAACCACTGATTGGGATATGACTAGACAACAATTTGCTAGATCACAGTTAAGATACGGTCCTTAAAAGAATACCGTATTCGAAGTAACAAGCACCCAGGGCGCTCTCAAAGTTAGAAATAGGGGGCTCTTATTACAATACTATTTTGTCAAAAAAACAGAGTTGGAAGATAAATTACGTGGTTTATGCTGACAGCCTGAAATGTTTACATACGAGAGACATATTTTTCCAGAATTTAATTGCCCATAATTAAGGGTGCATATAACGCAAATAAATAAGTATTGTGTACATTGATCAATAGGAAAAGGTGCTAATTGGGATTGTTCATGAGCCAATATAATAGCAAATATCGCTTATTAGAGCGGGGCGCTTATTACGTCGAATACGGTATGTCACCTGTCCACGCTGAGTAGATAATAATGACCTATCTTAAATAAGCGAGTGGTTTGGTTTATTGTTTAACGCTGCACTCGGCAATATTCCAGCTATATGACGGCGGTCTGTAAATAATCGAGTCTGGACCAGACAATCCAGTGATTGATATCATGAGCATCGATCCAAGCAATTGGGATCGATGACATGCATCAACCAAGTCAGCGAGCCTGACCACCCGATCCCGTTAGTCGTCTCTTACGACAAGCATAGTCACCTTTTATGGCAAGCATGGGTTGCTGAAGACCTATTCTACCCCGGAATCTTCATGGGTCAAATAAGCGAGTGAGTAAGTTTAATGCATTATCTTTATGTGTCAGGAAAGCCCAAAGTGATGCAGGTTTTAGATGTTACCATTTCAGTCAAACCTGCAATTTATGGTGCCGACAGATGAAAGATCATAATCAGGGCCAATCTGGGATTTACACCAGTGATCAGCTGATACTGGCATGACTAAGGGAGACAACTCTGCAGTGTGAGTTGTGGCAGATTAGACGTCTCAGTCACCCATGCCCCCTCAGCAGGAAATATCTTGCCACAGTGTTAACACAGATATTCCAATAGCGAGTACCATTTGTATGACTGAATGCTTCAATCCTTCTTACCCATTTTTGTGTTTCTTTCTTTAATCACATTAGTCACCCATCCTGAAACAAAATGAGTCATTATGCATCAAACTTCTAAAGTAATATATTTATTAATACAGCCTTGTATCCATGCACAATTATCTGACCGAAAATTTGTGATTTAACATGATCTATGTGTGTGTCCAAGTACACAATAGCCATGACCAATTTAGGACACAAGTCTGACACCAGGACACGTTCCACAAAGTGATCTTAGCGCTACGACTATCATAAGCCATTGTTAAAGTATGGGAGTTACGACCATCTTAGCGCTAAGAATGCTATGTGGAACAAGGCCCAGGTCTTGTATAACGCCTATAATTGATTAAGCGCCTACCTTTATCGATGTCATGGCCGCCCTGCATGAAGAACGCCCCCCCTGGTTTACGCTTGATCTGCAGCCAGACTGGAGACACATAGTCGAACTTGTTGCCGAATATCTTTGCTATATCATAACCATGGCTGTTCCACTGAATGCAGAGAAAAAAAATTAAATCAAAAGTTCTCGCTCCACCATTTGTTCAATGAACAGGAATCCAGTATACTAGTGAGAGAGTGAGTTAAATAAAAAAATTTATTTTGGTCCTGTTCAATTTTTTGATAAATGGTTGCATGTTTAATTACATTTTCATTCCAAAATTTAAAGTCTTTTCCATTTGATCAGTGAGGAAAACTTGTCGGCAAATTCAGCTTGTCCACCGTTACATGTTACACAGAGACTTCTGATCATGCGTTAAACGTCACAAGATTGTGTACACAACCTAATTACCTTTTCTGGTGACGTGAGTGAGTGAATATGATTTCACGCCGCTATTACCAGTATTCCAACAATATCACGGTGGGGGACACCGGAAATGAGGTTCACACATTGTGCCCATGTAGAGAATCGAACCTGGGTTTTCAGCATTACGAGCCAAAGCTGAAACCACTAGGCCACCTCGCTCACGCCACTTTCTGGTGACGTACAACACTTCCTCTGATCTTCCATGAAACGTCACAAGACTGTGTGGTCTATGTAACTGATTTATGGGCATGTGAACAGACAAGTTTAAGTTTTTCATTCAGGTAATTGATTTGAACCTGATACACAAGACAGGAGTAGACAGGAGTAGACATTTTTTACGGGATATTATGCAACTAAAACTGCTGCCACGCATTGGTTGATGGGCAGTACTTAGAAGTAGACAGGAGACAAAGTAGACACAATTTATGGATAACAACTTCTTTAATACTGTAAAGGCGATGTTTCGGTATAGATCCTTATACCGTTGTCAAGCAAGACCGAATGAGGAACATTGTACAGAATATACTTAGTGGTGGAAGATTAACAGAAGAGGATTAACAGTAACAACAATTACATACATGAGTAAGTTATGAAAACAGAAGGATGATACTGTCACAACATGATGGACAGAGAACACATAGGCGGAAGCCAATGGGACGGGATATTTCCTGTTTATATGGCTTCATGTTCCTCATTCAGTCCTGCTTGACAACTGTATAAGGATCTATACCGGAACGTCGCCTTTATGGTATTAAAGAAGTTGTTATCCCTCAAGTGTGTCTACTTTCTGCCATGCATTTGTGGTAGGAAATGTTACCTGCTCTGGGTGCATCCTGACAATGAAAGTTAGCTGCTCTAGCAGTGTCTTACCTGCACTGGTGCTGCTTGGATATAGTGGGTATGGTTTTACGCCGCTTTTAGCAATATTCTAGCAATATCACGGCGGGGGACACCAGAAATTGGCTTCACTCATTGTACCCATGTCGGGAATCGAACCCGGGTCTTCGGCGTGATGAGCGAACGCTTTAACAACAAGGCTACCGGACCACCCCAGCTTGGATATAGCGAAATCATACCCTGTGTACCTTTCTACAACCTGTAGCCCATTACCCGGTACTTAGGAGTGGTCAAATCAGACCACCAAGAACAGGTTTCCAATGTGCAGAAAAGAACCCAGATCTGTGATCTGAGGAGGGATCCACTTTGTCAACTGAGCTACCTCACCACCACACAGGCATCTGAAGACTCCTGGTGGTATCTATAAATATACAGCCTCCTACAACAATACCAGCTGTAGCTTGATGGTGTATTCTGTTTTCCATACAGCACAGCTTGTGAAAACACAAACTAGACAAAAAATGAGAGCACCCTGCTCGAAACTAGTCACTTAGATTGCTCTTGGGTTTTAGCCCCAAACTCTCTATTATTTAGACTAATCTTAGTTGCATACTGCAATAAATCTTCAAACTCACTGGTGTTACGTAAGCTAGTGTTTCTCCTCCAAATGCCTTGTTATCCACTTGTGACAGACTATACACAGCATGCTCTTTGAGGATATCCTTGATGGTGATATCTTTTTTCACCAAGCCCCTCTCAAACACGCTCTTCACTTTACTCTGCAAACATACATCGGACTGTACAATTTGAAGGATTAACTTATCATGAAGTATCCTGGGTTTATATTGTGTGATAAAAAACAACCAATCATCTCCATGTCCAACATTGTCAATACTTCCTGGGGTTTGTAGACACTACATTACTCCATCACCTTTGAATATATGTACACAGGTAGTCGCTTTGTGGTGTAGTCGCTTATCAATACCAGCTGAATGTATTTGGTTCGTTTGTTTGTTTGCTGTTTAACGCTGCAGTCAGCAATGTTCTAGCTATATGGCACTGGTCCGTAAATAATTGAGTCAGGACCAGACAATCCAGTGATTGTTATCACGAGCATCGATCCATGCAATTGGAATACGATGACATTAACCAAGTCAGCGAGCCTAACCACCTGATCCCGTTAGTCGCCCCTTACGACAAGTATGGGTTGCTGAAGAACAATTTTAACCTGGATCTTCAGGGGTCTGAATGTATTCAAGGGCAATGGAGGAACATAGTGTCTACAAATGCATGAAGTATTGATAATTCATGCTCAAACATAATCCCAAATTTACAAAGAAGCTCAACTGTTATGGAAACCATTAATAAAACGCCATTGATATACTAGTAATACATTGTTTCCTGTGAACTACAGATTACAATGTGTCACTGTAATCTTTTATTTAGCTGCGGCAACTGTATCACTGTGCTGCTCCCTCTAAATGATTTTGATTTTGATTTTGACTTGTCGTGCTACACAGAGCTACAGGCTGTTCCACAGAGTTTTCCAAATGGATTCCCGATTCAGAACATACTGCACTGACAACCCTGCCATAACAAACATGAATCAAAATTTTTAAAACTGCCACCTTAATCATTTCCCTAAACACTTGCTTTTCAATCATGCAACTTTCTTTGAGTTTATTTGATTGGAATCATTGAGAGGGTACTGATTTTGGCTGTCATCCACTGGCTAGGTTCCCAACTCAATAAGTAAATATATTGTCATAAGCACCCAAATTTGAAGGCAAGTGTCTTCAGAAGTGAATCATGAATTTGTCACTTGATCATGATGCATGCACTTTGCTGAAGCATATAAAGTGCAATGTAGATTTGGAACGGGGATCTATTGGGAAAACACACAGTGGGATAGTCTGTAGATCTGTGTAGTGTGACGCACTGCCCATGACATGTTTGTTTTGTATGTTCCTTCAACCTACTGGCCAGTACAACTGATTACACAGTCATCTCCTCCATATCAGTCAGCATCCATTGTATCAAGTGTTTACTTGGATGTTAATTATGAAAAATAATTGATAATTCTTGATGTGTTAATTGCATCAATTGCAAAGTGAGTGAGTGAGTGAAAGTTGTTTTACACCACTTTTAGCACTAATCCAAAAGAGCTACATCCCTTATGCATGACAAAACACTACAATCATGACATTGAAATGACCTGATTGTTTCAAGGTTTGTCAGCACCACACACGTGAGTTTTACGAAAGTGTTAAAGGTGTAAGACCTGTTTCACTTTTGGCTTTAGTCCCACATCAAGCTAACATCATTCTGTGATAGAACTTAAATACTGTTCAAAGTTAGAAACCCAGCTCACTCACTCACTCTTCCTGTGGTCAAGACAATCAAGTTACCAAAAGTGTTCTTGTCAACTGCCTTTTCTCAATATTGATTCTAGTCGGATACATGGTGCCACCGGTTGGTTAGATTTGTGTTTTGTTTACCTTTTTGCCATCTTTGTTCTTCTTTGACTTATCACTCTTAGAGAGGGTGGCCGATGACACGTGTAAACACGTTAAAACACACAGAACAAACAAGTGACAAGAGACCATTCTCATCGTTTCATCTGAACACGTATATCCCACTGTGTCCGTCTTACTAACATTAATGTGCAACCAGCTGATAACAGAATAATCACGTTTGGTGTATCACTTATAAAAAATAAATAGTTTTATTCCGTCGACATATCAACAAAGTCCACGTGCAGTCAAGGGGTGTTACTCTCATAAATAAACATAAGGGAATCCCACTAAAAAATCAGTGTAAACTCTACAGCAGGGCTCTAACACCTAAATGTACGTATATATACATTTGTTTTCTCAGGCATTAAAAAAAAACTTGTTATCCATCCATGCACTGAATTCAAATAATGTATTACTTCTTACCTATATCTAAAATAAGTTTTAGGGTTTTAGAGTTTAGGGTAAGAAAAGTTTAATGACGTGACATCAGTGTCCTAAGGGGTGTCAATTGTAATACCTTTATAACATTATATAATATCATATCGAAAGAAATTTATTATTTTAGTGTCACAAACCCATGTGTCTCCAATTAGTTACATAAGAAAATCCGATCTAAGCAATTACAATATTGAACAAAATAATAAAAGTACATATGTACATGTACGCATCCGCATTCGGGTTATTGTTTATTTTTCTTCTAAATCAAAGAATCTCTGAAAGTCATTTTTTATACAAATATATTTATACAGTAGTCTCTGTCTTTCTAAGTCAAGAGGTTCGCATGAATATATTGCGTTGTTTCGTTGCTTATGTCCAGTCACCTTCATCCAACATTATTTAAAGCCAAAGACGCTGCAAGGAGTTGGCACCAGCTTATTACGCATCCTTGTGCGCGTTTGCGGAAACGGAAATAACAATCAACGCTGTCATTTCAACATGGCTGACGAAGAAGACTTATCATCGGAGCAGACGGAACAATTGCTGCATTTCCAGGTGACGTTCGCGACTTAATTTGCAGTTGAAATGTATTTTTATAGAGGCGGTTAAACATTAAAATCGGTCTTCTTGAAATCTTTTCAATAGCATTTGTAGTGTCCATACGTGATGGGTAAGAGTCAGATGATAACTGACTTGAAAATGGTTCGCATGCAACTAAGATGGTATTGCACATGACGTAGAAATATAGTTCAAGTTGTGTCATGATTGCAAAACGTATTTTTATAAATGGTTAACGCGCATTTTATGTTTTCGGCTAATAAGTTACTGCGAATATGCCAGTACAACATCATTTTGAAATATAATGATAATCAATTCCAAAATGCCAATATGTTTACAGATCAACTTAACTTCACTGACATCGTGAACACGGTGAATGTGACACATTTAGAAATGATTTTGAATTTGTGTGATTTAACTTGAGTATGACCCTACATAGAGTGAGGGTCATCGTGTTTTAACTTTAGAGATTGCTATAATAATTTTATATCCCTATTTTGTGGGATGTAAACACATTTATTTTTTTTACGTTTAACTTTATGTTTATACAATGACAGCCATACAACAATTAGCGATAGATGACATGAGCACATGTATGCTCAAAATTTTCTGCAGAAACATCTTTTGTATATCAGTTAAACAAATATTTTAAATAATATTGCCATTATATGAGATTTGTCTGTTAAGAACTACAGTAAACTACGGTTATAACTCACTCATTTTGGTTTGTTTTAACTGTAGTTTGTTGTACGCATATATACAACATCTATACAGCAGATATCTTGGACCAAAAATTAAGTTTGTAATATCCATCAGTTCGTCATAAGCATTTTCGTTATAAACATTTTACTGTACCTCTAAGTGGGTCACAGTGACAGTGTGCTAATATACATTTTCTTGAAGTACAGGATGTCTATCAGCATGTTTACCATCAGCATCACATGATCAATGTGATGGGGGTGATTTCCAAAATTGTCAATGGACCTGTGGTGATTAGGTGTTAGTCATCATCATGATCATTGATAAATTGTCTGATCATTCAGAGGTGATTAAGATGTGTCAAATAGATACTGAAGTAAATTCATAGACTATTGTAGAAGTTTTACCCCTGTCACTGTCTACATGGTCTAGGTGCAGATTTCGGCATTCATTTTGTACCACCTTAACATACTAAATAGTGTTTTTTTCATTTTCTTTACTAGGATGAATTGTAGTGAGGATATTCGATCAAAGGCATGCAGTCAAACACTGTGTAAAAATGCAGATACATGAATGAGCAACCCTATGATAAAAAAACATGTCAGATTTAAACTTTGTTTTGTTCCAGGACCTCACTGGGATTGATGACATGGGAAGATGTCGACAGATCCTAGAAAGACACAGATGGGATATTGAGGTGAATAACTTTTTGTTTATGATAACCATATCATTCCTGTGTATAGTGTGATAAGTGTTGGACCTATTGTAGCTTGTATTCCTGAAAGAATAAAAAATTTAGTAAATTAATGTTATTTCCATGCCTAGCTGAACTGTTGTGATTAAATAATTTGCCCAAATTGCTTTCACCCTGGGGTCAGAGGTAATTTGCTCAAGTTGCAAAAGTTTGTGAATCTTTACCATCTAACCATGCTAAATTGTGTCAGAAATGATGACCCATGAAGATCCAGGGTAGAATAGGTCTTCAGCAACCCATGCTTGCCGTAAAAGGTGACTACCGGGTATGCTCGTCGTAAGAGGCGACCAATGGGTTCGGGTGGTCAGGTTCGCTGACTTAGTTGATGCATGTCATCATATCCTAATTGCATGGATCGACGGTCCAGACTTGATTATTTACAGACCGCTGCCATATAGCTGGAATATTGCTGAGTGCAGCTTTAAACAACAAACAAAGAAAAGATATGATCATTCTTTTGGGGATTCTGGGTAAGATTTGGGACCTGCTGCCTGTGCTTATTAATAGAGGCCAATTAATGGATCAGATATCAGACTCAGTCACTTGGTTGATTGTTTGTCATTGTATCACGACAGCACTGGTTTGCTTCGCCCAGACACTATTCTTTATAGGATTCCGTGTGTCATCAGTGTTACTGTTAAACCATGTAAACAGCAAACAGTCAATGAAATGGTTTGCTAGAATGGTGGTGTTTCCCTCAGGCTGCTGTCCAGGACACATTCAATGAACAAGAGGGGGCCCCAGCTGTGTTCAACCAGCCACAAGCAGAACCCAGGCAGCCCGCTATGAACCTCTCACCCTCAGATCAGAGGTAACACTTCGCAGATAGTGTACCTACATGTACTGTCTCTTAACATGCTTGAGCATTTTATTGTTAAGAAAATGGAGAATCCTGAAGTTTTATCCCAACTTCTAATGTGTCTAATTGTGCATAATATACCTGTTGATACCTGTATTTCTTGTGCGACAAGAACATGCTTGCATTAGAACAGTGTGGGGATGTCAGGTTAGAATACTACCCCAACAACCTACACTAAGTTGTAGTAAGAGTTGATGAAAAGGGTCATCAGGCTTGGTGACTTGGTTGATAGCATATCATGATACCTTGACGGCTTGGATCATTGTTCACAATATTGATCACTGGATTGACCGCAAATGATTTGTTTTGTTCCCAGTGGTTATCTGTTGGTTAAACTACAAAAATCCTTATTGTTATGTTATCATGGTTTTATGTTGTTACCATGGTAACTTACTTGAATGCTGATTGCGTGTTTGACTTTAGGGTGTTCACTGTGGAACGACGCAGACCCCAAGGCATCTTCCAGTGGGGATATTTTGTCATCCTCTTCCCCTTCAGATTTGTCTACTCAACCGTATATGATCTCATGAAGTTTGTGTGTAAGTTGGAACAACATTTACAACAGAATGTGCAGACACCCAGTTTACTTGCTAATCTGCTTAATCATATATAGATGTGTTTATGGAATTAAATAATTGAACTGTCATGCATATTGCATTATTAGTCCTGTTGCTCAGTCGGGTTTTCAGAAGAAGTGGGGGCGATGTAAAGATAATTGAGTCACGGATTGCAGTAGTCAGGGTTCCCATGCAGCTTTGAATAATCCTTGAATAAGATTATGCCTTGTAAATGGTTAGTGTGTGGCGAGAATCCCCATCTGGTGTTTATTTCTTTCAAAATATATATGTCTTGATGCATGCTTGCAGATAGATGATGGAATTCTTATAAAACTTTAAAGAAAACAATTTGTAGTCATTGTTTATGGTCAGTAATCAAAGAGTTATTCCCCTTCCCTGCCTCATCGGCAAATAGGCTTAGAAGGGCCCGAAGCAAACTATGCTTCCATATGCATATGCCAGATTGTCTTTGTAAGGCAATGTGTCACATGGTTTTGCCCAATTGGCATGGGAGCCTTTAATAAACCATGAAAAGGCCTTGAATTTTGTTGCATAGACTCTGCATGAAACCAGTGTAGTATTTTATCATCTAGATATATTTATATATGGCTTTTCAGTTGCTTTTGATTCTTTTGTGATTTTTGTTTTAATATTCATATTTCTGTTTCATCTTTCTATAGATCGCTTGATAAAACCAGACCCTCGGAGAAGTAAGTATCCTTCAATTTATGTTGACTCTCTCTAAACATAAGATACATGTGAAATAATTGTAATCCCAGCCAACTGAGAAATGTTGGAGTTGTCTCCACTTTCATCTTGACGTAAGACTGTAGGGATTATTGTCTGTCCTAGTGGGTATCTAATCCAGGTCCCCTGTGAAGATCCCGGTTAGAATTGGTCTTCAGCAACCCATGTTTGTCGTAAGAGGTGACTAATGGGATTGTTGACTTGGTGGGATGCATGTCATTGTATCCCAGTTGTGTATATTGATGCTCATGATGTCAATCACTGGATTGTCTTGTGCAGGCTGGATTACTTAAAGATCACCATCATACAGCTAGAATATTGCTGACTGAAGCATATACAAGAAACAAATCTGATGCAGGTTGTACTGTGTTAAACAAGCTGGTGTTGTTTTCAGATGTAACAGACCCACTTGGAGACGTTGAAAGATTCATACAGTCATATAGGGACAAGTTTGGGAACAGTCATCCTGTGTTTTACCGGGGCTCGTATAGTCAGGTGAGATATCTTGTAATTGGCATATTGACATTTCTAAAGGCTGACAAGGTCTAAAGATTTCAGTGAAGTACATTGATAGGAAGCTTCGTTTAACATGTCACAGATATGGACTGGCTGTTCCAGCTTATATTATAAGCCAATGTCAGCTTTGTGCTAAACACCATTGCTCTTTGTATGCAGCCTTTATCAGCTCCAAAAGTTATAGTGCTACAAGTATGCACTCCTCTTCATTCACATTAGTTTCCAATTTGTTTGTAATCCCCCGCCACAAAGTGGAAGGTGGATATAGGAATTGGTGCTGTCCTTCTGTCCGTCTGAAACATTTCGTTTCCGTGACAGAACTCCAAAACCATGAGAGATATCTTAACCAAACCTTTAACATAGGTGAGTCTAGTGGTGAACTGGTGCCTTTTGATAGTTTTGGATTTTTAAAATATTGATATTCGAGTTTACATGGCAACGACTTTGACTGGGACTGAAAATGGCGGTAGTGCTCGTTTCCGGAGGTAGAAAACTGTACAAGATTTCCTGCCTTGCACACAACCGGACATGTTATATTTACAGGGGATATGAGTGTTTCATGCTTGTTAGATAGTGTTATTGATGCAGTGAAGCAATCCCACCTCAGGTCACCTAGGAGGAACTACTAAGGTTTCTATTGCCAGATGTAACCAATAAGTTTGAGTTTACTGATATGTAGATGTTTCTGTATAATTATTTTGCACTTTGTAATAAATTTAGCCATTCACCTGTTCACTGAGTGAAAATGCATCTTAAGCTTTGATTATTTAGGATGGACATTATATCATATGTGACCAAGAGATTACTACCTACATGTGCATCCTTATTGTAAATACCATATATGATATTTTCTATATGGATACTCACTCGGCTAATCATGCTAATAATCTCTATGTATTGAATGTAAAACATGAACATAATAGACAGGGTGCCATCTTCATAATTACAGTAAAAGATTCCTAATCTATCAACAGCTGTATTTGTAGCTGGTCCAACACTAAAATGATGCCAAAGCAATTTCACAAAGTTCACTGACACAATTGATACATATTTCTGACTGGTTGAGCTGTTTAACTTGTCAATGTACCATACAAAGTGCTGCACTGTTCTCATCTGATAATTGTATTACAACATTAACATGGGATTTTATTGTTTGTAACAGGCACTGAATGATGCAAAACGTGAGCTCAAGTTTCTGCTGGTTTATCTCCATGGTGAAGACCATCAGGACACAGATGAGTTCTGCAGGTCAGCTCCTCCACCCCTCAATTCTCACAATGCCCAGTCTGGATTCAGGGACAGATTAGGTCCCCAGTACCGTATTCATGTTACAAGAGCTAAAAAATGAGCATGATGAGGATCAGGGCCAACTTCAATAGGGTGATCTTAGCACTAAGACCGTTTTAACAAATACTTACATTAGTCATAGCAGAAGGATGGTTTTGTGCAAATCGGTCCCAGTGGTTAGCTATACCCAGAAGGCATAGATTATTGCTCATGCTGTCATCCTGTTTTCCTGTTATATAAGTGGAATATAACTGCTGTGTCAATCACATTCACTCACTCATTGCTCTTCCGATCCTTTTATTTCATGGCAGAATGTCTGTACATAATGGAGTGTCCTCTGTTTGTCACTACCTGTTCTTTGGAACAGGTAAAGCAGCATGTGTGCTGATTGGGACAACAATATCATACAGCAGGGAGCGTGTCAATTTTGTATTAGTTTTACACTTTCACAGAACTATCATCATGATCATATCATACATAACCTAAATAATCTTTCTACAACCCATACAACATAGGCCTGTTGGCTACAGGGGCGGTCGGGTAGCCTAGTGGTTAAAGCGTTCGCTCGTCATGCCGAAGACCCGGGTTCGATTCCCAACATGGGTACAATGTGTGAAGCCCATTTCTGGTGTCCCCCGCCGTGATATTGCTGGAATATTGCTAAAATCGGCGAAAAAACATACTCACTCACTCACTGTTGGCTACACATACAACTAAAGTCCAACAAGGTGGGATACTGAATCGGCATACACCACTTGCATCTCGATATTAGCTTGGAGGTAGTCTTTCTCACACTGAAAATAGTGTTCTATTTCTTGATTCTGATAAATTTGAACAGGTTCGGGTGTGAATGTTCATCTTGGCGTGCCAGCTTTCCACATAGTTCGTTGTTCTGAGTTGCATTCACTCACTAACTACTGTGAACACTTTTGACCTGCCCCCTGTGCTTGTATAAACACAGTAACAGTTAATTCCCTGCTGTGTTGGGGCAATAAGGGGATAAACCTACATAACACTTGAAAAGACTTGAGAAGGGATTGTATTGTAGAAAAGATTAGTGACCTTTGCTGAATACCATATCTTTACTTTGGATTGGTGTATTTGTGTTTCAAATAATCCAGTTGATAGTGTGGATGAATGCTTATGTTGATAGTGTTTTGTCTGCTTTGTGGTTTGAACTCATTTTTGTACGCATGTTTTTCGATGTGAAAATAATATAGAAAACAGTGCCACACTGTCATTTATGCACTTGTGCTTTTATGTTGTATTTGCAGAGTGACATTAGCAGCAACGGAGGTTACAGATTTTGTGAATGGCCGTCTTCTGTTCTGGGCTTGTAGCACTAACAGTCCTGAGGGATATAGAGGTAAAAAGATTATCACGTTGATCTAATGACAATGATAGCCGTTATCAAGTAACTTGAGCATGCATATTCCATTATTGATAAAATGTCTTGAGCGTGTTATCATGGTTATGTCACAGGAGCCTTTGACAAAAGTGGTATTCTACTATTGTAATATGTTGTAATCTGCTGTAAATCTGCTTCAGTTTCTCAAGCCCTGAAGGAGAATACCTACCCCTTCTTGTGTCTGATAGTCCTCCGAGACAACAGAATGACGGTGGTAGCTCGCATTGAAGGTCCACTGGGTGAGTTGCACTCATCTGTCTCCTTGCTGCCAGTGCTGAAATATAAGATTTGTAACGTCCTTGTCGTTCTCACTAAAAATTCTTAAAAACCAGATTGTTGAAATGGAGCATTGTGTGGACATTGGCATGCTGGTATAGCCATGTTATGATGCATGTCAAGGGTGACACAACTTGCTATACTGAGTTGCCTCCCTTAAACATGTCCAAATGTGTTCATTGTGGACTTGAGTTGATTATGAAGCTTAATCTGTCAGGACCATAACATGTGCTTGTTCCTTTCACTAAGATAGCAGACATTCTATCTTTCCTCCTACATGAAGTTGACACATTGAGATATGACTGATTACTCCTCAAAGCGGCGTCAGATCCAGCTCACTCATTGTGTAGGAACTGATTTAATGTTACATGTACGATTGAGACTCTGGCTACATGTTGTATTTTACCATGCTTCCATCTGCCTAATATCTCAAGGCACCAGACTTTTAGTATGCTGTAAGATCACGAGTGATGGCGCGAAGAGGTACAATATGTAAGGTTTTGTAATGTGTATGTTTCAGAGTCAAGGGAGATGGTGAATCGTCTTGAGCGTGTGATGGAGGATAATGAGGCCTCGCTCGTGGCTGCAAGAGCAGACAGGTGACTGGGCTTCATCCAATTTGATCAGTCAGCATCTCTGTATGTTTTATATATATAAAAATATAACGCCCTTTCTAGGATCTGGAATTGAATATGGGTTATTACATTCTATTGTAAGAGACCGCCTCCATGGTCTAGTGGTAGATTGTCTGTCCGAAAGGTCCGGGGTTCGATCCAAAAGATCATACCAAAAGACGTTAAAATATGGTACTTGTTGTTACCCTGTCTGGCACTCAGCTTTAAGGGGCTAAAACAAGGACTGGTTGGCTTGGAAACAGAATACTGTGTCTGAGTGGGGTATTCATGTTAAACTACGGCATAATATCTCAGTGAGCTAGCACTATAAATAAACATCAGTCTGGACTAGTACAAGCAGCCACACACGTGCATGCACGTCGCTATATAAGTTCAATAATCTTGGATGCGACGTTAAACCCAATTTCACCTCACCTCACTTGTGGTTGTAAGAGGAGACTAGATGGAGGTAAGGACATGTTTTGAATATTGCCGGTACTAGCAAACAGTTCAGGTGCCCTTTCTTTTAAGCATATTTCACTTCCATGAGGCTTAGTAAAGACCTAATTAGTACACTGACTGCAAATCTGACAGGAGCTGTAGCATTTTTGTTTAAATAAGATATGATATTTACAGAGAGGCTTTGAACTTCAACCAGACATTACGACAGGAGCAGGACGTGGCCTATCAAGTTTCTCTCCGAGCAGATCAGGAAAAGGTTTGTCCCAGCTGATACTAAATGTGTTTTTAAACAGAGGTTTTGAATAGCATTATGAGCAACAGGTTCTTGAGCACCAGAGATGTTTTGGCATCAACAAAATGTCCTTAAAACAATTTATGATAGTCATGGTAGTGATAGCAATAGTGTGACAAGGTAAATACATGAAGGATTTTGTTAAACAATTTGAAGATTCACCCATAATTAGAACAGCAAAATAAGGTAATCCATGTCACTGCCTGTACTTCACCTCAATCCCTGACATTGTCATGACTTGTTTCTTCAGGAGAGGAAGAAGAGAGAAGAGCAAGAAAAAAGAGAGGCAGAAGAACAGAAAATCAAAGACCAAGAACAGGAACAATTAAGGCTATTAGAAGTCAGTTATTTGTCTTTGGTGATTTCATTTTATGTCTGTGTTGGACCTGCATCACTTCAGGCTTTCCTCCCACATTAAGAAGATACCCCATGATATAACTGGAATACTGTTAGAGTTGCATTAAACTCCCTCACCTCTTATACCTAGGCTGAAATTTAGTGGCTCAAGTATAGCGCCACCAGTGGTGTCATGAGTTATGTCCCTTCTATGTCCCTCTCTTGACCAATCAGATTCAACATTTCATATCACTTGCATTTGCTTCAAACAAAATGACAGCGCCCAGTCAAGACGATGTGATTGATAATCAAGATCTTTATAGTAATAAAACAGGCCTTATCTCGGGAAGTGCATCAAATCACTTGAGCACTTTAAAATTATGAAAAGATTTGGAAAATATTTGTTTATGCCCAGTTGACATTAATCCTGCAATCGACCCAAATCTGCACGGCAATTGCCATGTTTTTGAATGGGATGTAGCTTTTGATTGGGCATTGCATAGAGTTGTTAGTCCTGCCAAACTATAACTCCATAATTCGAGCATATAATTTGGCAAGGGTGGAAACTGGACTTTTATAGTCAGTTAACTTCTTTGCCTCAGGAAGATCGAGATGGAATCCTGGATTGACTCCCTAGATTTGCCCCTGTAATGTGTTTGGTCATTTTTGTTCTTAATGAAACATTATTTAATTAAAACCTTTTTATATTCTTTCTCCTAGAAAAGCTTGTGAAATAACAACAGTTGAGTGTTCTCAATGTTCAATGCGAAAGAAAATGTTCAAACTGACTTAAAAAAGAAATGAAACATTTTTTTTGTATAGTTTGAACTCTTTGTCAGGAAAAAGAGCGCCAAAAGGAGGAACTTCGGCAGGGGATGCCTGCAGAGCCGTCACTTGATGACAGTGAAGCAATCCGCATCATCCTGAGGGTACCTAGTGGTGTACGACTGGAGAGACGCTTCCTCAAGACACACTCCATGAAGGTAATGTCGGTCGCTCCATACTTAAACAGTGCTTCGAGATGTAGCAGAACGTTACCTCATGAAGGTATACACATCACAGTACAGAAGGTATCAACATGTTTGTATATGTTTCCAAATAAACAGACCTCACTGTTACTTCTAATTTATTTTAAAGGCGAAAAAGTATTAGCAATAGTTTTGAAATTAAGGGGAAGTCATTGGTAACAAAGTAGAGACAATTTATGGATAACAGGCCTTACCAACACTATAAGGATCTGTACCGAAACGTCACCTTTATAGTAAATAAAGAAGTTGTTACCCATTAATTATACCCCCGACAAAATGTCGGAGGTATATAGTTATACCAAGGTTTTGTGCCGTCTGTCCGTCCGAAAAATTTGTCCGCGCAATTTCTCTTAAACTATTCTGTGGATTTATCTCAAACTTAGTACATATAATCTGTGTCATATGGAGGGGTGCAGTCAAAAGAATTTGTTTTTATTATTAATTTTCCATTTTTGTAATGAATTTTTCAAACCCTAACGTCCGTCAACTTTGTCTGTGCGATTTCTCTTAAACTATTCAGTAGATTCATCTCAAACTTAGTACATATAATCTGTGTCATATGGAGGGGTGCAGTCAAAAGAAAAAAATTGTTTTTATTAATTTTCCATTTTTTTATAAAGTTTTCAAACCCTTACCCTATCCCAGCTATTTAATTTGTAACTACTGACACACTAGGCGAGTCGGGGGTATCAGTGGGCCACGCTCACTTTTGCACTTGTTGTCTCTGCTTTGTCATCTGTCAAGTTCTAAGTAATTCCCATCAAACAATTCAAGTAATTGGTACACTGACTCAAACATATTGTGGATTGGTGTATGTTGCTGCAAGTTTTTTCTTGTCTTGTCATATTAACTTTTAACTTTGATAGACATTGGTTCTTACAGTTTGCGTTTATGATGTGAAATCATGCGTTTATCAGTATGAGAAAAAAGTAAAGATTAAAAACTTGAATGCCTCCTAAAATGTGGAAGCAAAAGTCTCATTGTGAAGGTATCATGATTTGGAGGTAGTATATAAGACTTATCCAAAGTAGATATTACCACAGATGCATTGATCTGCGATGCAGATGTGCCTTTGCAGTTGATGCTAGATGACCTTTGCCTTTTTTTATCCATGTCTTTTAATAATTTGATCTTATATTTGTTCAATTTCAGTTTCTCTACTACTTTGTGTTTTGCAATGAACAATGTCCAGATGACTTTCAAATTGTGACAAACTTTCCTCGAAGGACATTACCCTGCCAACCCACCGAGGAAACCCCCGAGCCAAAGACATTCGCGGAATTTGGACTTGGCAAGTCTGAAATGTTGTTTGTCCATGATAACGAGGCTTGATGCTCAACATGTGTAGGAACTGGTATCTACTTGAGTACATCACAGGGGAGGGGAACTGGGAACGATGTACAGATGGCCTGATGAGGAGGCTGCCAGGAGGACATGGAGCAAGACTGTAAAAGTTGTGGCATGAGAAATCACTTTCAGAGAAGAAACATCTAGATTGCTGATCATGTATGTCTTACACATCTGTGAGAGGTCATATGAAGCTTAGGACTCTTAAGGTTTGGGTCAAGGTACTGGCTGCTGCTTCTCAACACATTTCATGATGGACTCATGTTGTACAAGAGTGGCTGAGGGTTAGGAACGCTATGTAATAAATGTGGAATTACAACTTGTGAGCAGTGTGATAAAAGGTTGAAACAGATTTTTATAACATAATATATATGAACTAATATAAAAGACTGACTAGACTTTGTAATGACTAGGAGTTTCCACTTCTTGGGCACAGATTTCTGAACATGATGGGCGGTATACAGAAGCACGAGCAAGCTTACTGCTCTAGTTTCCTGACATGACCCGCCATCTGTTAGAAATCTGAGAAGGGTTGTTCTTGATCAAGTCTCCATATTGTGTTCTATGAATGTGATAATGAAGTTAAAATAGTGATACCCACATCTTGGTTACCATGGTTACGATGAATGTTTCCCAGCATCAGCTGCATGTTGCCGTGGTTATTACTGGTTACCATGGTTGGTAGCAGCTTATTATTGACATAGAGTGAAATATTTAATAGCTGTTGTTTCCAGGAGTAGGCATATATTTACTGAAGGTAGAAAACGATTTTGTATCAGTGTTTTAGAATGTAGAATTGTACCAATATCTGGATTTTTGATATGGTGGACCAGATTTTGTTTTTCACAACAAATGGGCATTTTAAATATCAAACCCGTGTTCAGTGTTAGCACTTGTAGAATCATGAAATCAGATCCTTGTTCTTTTTATATTTTGCAGTAGTCTGAAAATTCTGAACTCTTATGGTCATATGACAGCCATTGGTGAATGATATGAATTACATAACTCTGTGAGGGTCACATACATGATAAAAGGGATGTTTTAAAGATTTACTGGCCCAGATATCTTGATAACAAACTAAGTCAGTTATAGTCAATTCCACATGTACTACAGTATTCCATTCAACTTGAACGTGTCCTCACCATAATAAGTTTATGGTACACTGTGGGGGGAAGGATTCCAAATCAACCTGGAAGACTCTCTGGACAGTGCATGTTTTGTTTGAAGCATACATGATTGTGCATGCATGTTCATACACACTCCGTTACAGTTGACATTGTTACTGCATTTGTATTACAGCAAGACCAATATGACCATTTTCTCAGTGTATAATCATGGTGGTATGACTTAAGCCTGCAAAATAGAACTCTGGAACATGTGGAAGCACAGTGAAGTGATTTCTTCTTTATTTACAATTGCTGCAAACATTAAGGCTATATCCATGCAGCATTCAAGATTTAATCCTGTTTGACACCAGTGGCATTTTTAGCTATTGTGGAAACAAAGACATTGCAAATGTGCAATACTTTAATGTTATTCATCTTGAAACATCTCTGCGAGGACTGAATGAATGGACATTATTTATATTGTTAATGTATATTCCTAGTAAATCTTTCTCTCAATAACATACTCAGTCAAACATTTTTGAAACCATTTTGACAAAAGAAGCCTCTTTGCCTGGAAGTTTATTTGAAGTTTCTAAACATTTTCATTATTTGCATGTTTACCCCATGAAGGGATAGCTGCCAGTTTCAGTAACTTGAGTAATGAAAGTATGTACATTCATACATACAAGAATATGCATGTATTATATGAATTGTATTTGATCTGAATTATTCATACATGCTACAGCTCTCATTTTTTCACGTTCATTGGGACTTAGTGGAAAAGTATGGTGACTTGTGTCAAATCTGTATGTGTTTGTCATGCATTGCAACAATCAAAATTAGTTTGGCTGCTAAATGGCCTCATGCAGAGTTTGTAAGTTGTAGTGACTCCAAAAAACAGGTCAAACAAACTCTATCTGACCAATGGATAGTGTCCCAATTCTATCAAATTTCGTTTGTATTTAAGTTGTGAAAATAATATCGTTTTTTTTATATAATGTTATATGAAAATGATCACATTTCACGTAGTACTTATGAAGATTATGTTTGGTTTATTTATTGCGAAGGAGTTTTATCACACGTTTTCTAAATGCAATTAATTTCTAGTTTTCTGCATATAATTAAATCATGTCATCATTTTCCTCAGTTTATGTTCAAGGGAAAGCTGCATTTGTTATCCATGCTTCAGGGAATGAGATCTTCTCATCATTGAGGCTTTGTCAATAACTTGTAAATTTTGTAATAAATTTTAAAAAGAAGAATATATGTGTTATTTACTGAATTGTAGCATATCGGTAAGGGTGTTTGACTCTCAGTTCTGTGTAGGTATGTCATAGGAAATGTCAAACAGAGAAACTACATTGAAATTAACCCATTGTTCTCAAGAATTAAGGGGACAGGGTGGTCCAGCTGTCTGGGCCACCCCGGAAACCTATGAGTGTGGGTTTGAATCAGTGTGCCCCGATTGTGTATTTATATTTGTCAGCACCATACCGTCGCAGGTTTCACCAAAGTGGTAAACGTCTGAGGCCTGCATCTTTTCAGGCTTTCCTCCCACGTCAAGCTGACACATCACTGGATCGTCTGGTCCAGACTCCATTATTTCCAGAGCTCTGTCATATAGCTGAAATATTGCTGAGTGCGGCCTTCAACAACAAACAAACAAAACTCTATTTTCTCAGGAAAAGAAATCTGTAGTGAAGTTATTGGCTTTATTGTATGAAACAAAAGAGATGCCAGGTATTTAGTTACCAAAAGAAACATTACAATTATCCTTGTCGTGATTGGGAGAGGCGATTTATTGAAGCGTAAAAGTATCTATTTAATTGTGTCTATTTGATATAAGGTATACATGGTCTGGGTACAATAAACATCTGAACATCAGTACAGGTAGTAACGAAGTGGAGGCAGGGGTGGCCCTATTGTCTAAGGCGCCGCGATTCGCTGTACAGAGTTGCGTCCCTTGGGCGCGCCAGAAACCTATGATTGTGGGTTCGAATCGCGGTTCGCCCCATTATGTTTCTAGGTTTGGCAGCACCATACCCGTCCTCGTTGGTTTCACCGAAGTGGTAAACCTCGGAGACCTGCATCACTTCGGGATTTCCTCCAACATTAAGCTGACACCTGCGATATAACTCTAATACTGTTAAAAGCAGCGTTAAACCCAACTCACTCACTCACTCACTAGTAACTAAGTGAAAGGCATTATAACACCTTTGACATTTATCTAAAACGATATTTAGATTTCTTCGTGAGTCGACATTGTAAAAAGTATTGAAAGGACCTATGTTGATAGACAAGACCTTGGCTTTAAGTATGGACAATGCAGAAGAATGTACACCTGAACGATCACAGGGTGTTGATGAAAGTCGAAACGAGGTTGTTCTTCCTCGTCTTGATACACCGCTGGTTCTTGTTGTTACAAGAGCACGTCCTGTTCGCTTCTGGTATTGTCTGCAAAAATCAAAGACGAATTGTAGTTGTTGATAACATCGACCCGGGTTTGAATTGGCCCAAGTAAGACAGTCTTGTAAGATGCGGTTAAAATGGATCGGATGGTCAGACTCGGTACTTTGCTACTAATATTCAACCACCTGTTAGTCTGGTGGCCCAGAGTGTTTACAGCCCGCCAGGGATATAGCTGGGATATTGCTGTCTACGGTGTAAAACATCAAACCCAGAAAACTCAAAGATAAAAAGGACTCTGAGCTGATCAGTGGAGAATGGAAATCAGTTCGTTATATCCGAAATTTGTTATATAAGAATCAGTGCAATCATTGAGGATTAGTTGGTTGACTATACACCTACAATTCGACTTCGTCATATTCTGAACTGACTGCAGTTTGTTGATAAATTAAGTTAAGATCGCCCAAGAAGTATTAGCATCAGTGTTATTTCTATATATATATATACCAGTCGCCTTAAAATGTTATAATTGCCTTCTTTGTATGTGAACATGCAAGTCTATTTTCTTCCTAGAGTTACAAAGTGCTGCAGGGGCACGGGTGGCCCAGTCGTCTAAGGCGCCGCGATTCGCTGTGCAGAGTTGCGTCCCTTGGGCATGCCAAAACCCTATGATTGTGGGTTCGAATCCCGGTTCGCCCCAATTATGTTTCTAGGTTTGTCAGCACCATACCCGTGCTCGTGGGTTTCACCGAAGTGGTAAACGTCTGATACCTGCATCACTTCGGGCTTTCCTCCCACATTAAGCTGACACGCCGCGGTATTACTGGAATACTGTTAAAAGCGGCGTTAAACCCAACTCACTCATTACAAAGTGCTGCAAACATGTTGCTGAAACTTTTAACATGAAAACCGTGCTTCATCATTGAATGACTGAGTTTCTTTTACCCCGCTTGAATGGTTTTTCTGTCATATCACGGCGTGTCAGATTGACGTGGGAGGAAATCCTGAAGTGAAGATCTTAGACGTTTGCCAGTTGGAAACCAACATGTAAGAATGTGGCGCTGACAAGCCTACTCATTAAGTCAGGGCGATTCAAGATTCGAAATCACGATCATAGGTTTCTGGCACACCTTAGGAACGCCACTCTGAACAGCGACTTGGGACGCCTCACCAGCACCAGCACTCATATAGGACTCACAATAGACTGATATAGGACTCACAATAGACTGATAGAGGACTCACAATAGACCGATAGAGGACTCACAATAGACTGATAGAAGACTCACAATAGACTGATAGAAGACTCACAATAGACTGATAGAAGACTTACAATAGACTGATAGAGGACTCACAATAGACCGATAGAGGACTCACAATAGACCGATAGAGGACTCACAATAGACCGATAGAGGACTCACAATAGACTGATAGAAGACTCACAATAGACTGATAGAAGACTCACAATAGACTGATAGAGGACTCACACTAGACTGATAGAGGACTCACAATAGACTGATAGAAGACTCACAATAGACTGATAGAAGACTTCACAATAGACTGATAGAAGACTCACAATATACTGATAGAAGACTTCACAATAGACTGATAGAAGACTCACAATAGACTGATAGAAGACTTCACAATAGACTGATAGAAGACTCACAATATACTGATAGAAGACTCACAATAGACCGATAGAGGACTCACAATAGACTGATAGAGGACTCACAATAGACTGATAGAGGACTCACAATAGACTGATAGAGGACTCACAATAGACTGATAGAAGACTCACAATAGACTGATAGAGGACTCACACTAGACTGATAGAGGACTCACAATAGACTGATAGAAGACTCACAATAGACTGATAGAAGACTTCACAATAGACTGATAGAAGACTCACAATATACTGATAGAAGACTTCACAATAGACTGATAGAAGACTCACAATAGACTGATAGAAGACTTCACAATAGACTGATAGAAGACTCACAATATACTGATAGAAGACTCACAATAGACCGATAGAGGACTCACAATAGACTGATAGAGGACTCACAATAGACTGATAGAGGACTCACAATAGACTGATAGAGGACTCACAATAGACTGATAGAAGACTTCACAATAGACTGATAGAAGACTAACAATAGACTGATAGAAGACTCTCAAGGACAGATGACAATATTTTCGCATTCAAGACAGTTCTCAAGTTGCCAATTTCAACCCAGCCTGGAGAGCAAGAAATCAAATTATACATTTGACTTTACTCCGATGAATAAACCAAAAACCTCAATTATTACTGTTTTGCGTGTGTGTCAATAATTCGTTTTCACCTGAAATTAATTTCTATGATCAATACTCTTCTTGTACTGTTAGTAAACTATATCACCAGAACTAAAGCTCCAGGTAAGTTATAGTGAGTGAGTTAATATTTAACGTTGCATCAATATATTTAGGTAAGCTATAGAAGCGCCTTGTGTTCGTCTGTCCGTCAGTTCATTGCATGTCCGTCGTCCGTACGTGCGTCCTTCGCCTGTTCCTGATTCAACTGTCATAGCATCATAATAGAGCTTTCATTTAAACAATAGAAATTGAGTGTTTAATTAATGCATGTGTGAAGAATGTTCTAAGACACCACACGGTCTAGGAATGTGGAATCTACATGCAGCAACTCAACATCCTCCAGACTTGTTCATCTTAGCAAAATTTAAAAGAATATAAAAAATATATCGGTAAAAACATTGAAAATCTTTGAAAAAAATTCTGTTCCGAAACCGCAAGGCCCAGAGAGATACAACTTAAAGAAGTATAGGCCATAATGGTGCTTGAATTTATTCGTGACTAATAATTACTCTTTAAATATATATATATAACTTCTTCAATTGTAGGGGCGGTCGGGTAGCCAAGTGGTTAAAGCGTTCGCTCGTCACGCCGAAGACCCGGGTTCGAATCCCGACATGGGTACAATGTGTGAAGCCCATTTCTGGTGTTCCCCGCCGTGATATTGCTGGAATAATGCTAAAAGCGGCGTAAAACCAAACTCACTCAATCTTCAATTGTAGAATCTGTTAAAGCACCCTCTGTTCAGAAACATACAGGTCCAGAGAGCTGATATTTTGATAGCATATTCGTTTCTTCAGCTCAAATACAAAACCTACTGACTATATTGGGTACGCATCTTGCAATGTGCCTTAACTATTCGCTATAAGGGCTAACAACTGCAACTCATTTAGGACGCATGCGTTGCCTTTTTTCGTTTCTGTTAACTTTTCCTCCGTGGTGTTTCCATGGAAACAGGATCAAACTTTACTGATAGTGTGATGGTATCAGTTTGCTGAGACAAGCTACAAAATGTTATCTTCATGAAACATTTCACACTCACCTACTTGGTATAGTGCCGTTTGACATTTAAGTTAAATCTTGCTGTGAAAAAGATACTGACTGCAGGTTGAACTACGCAAGGGTAGCCACGACCTTCTACCGTAGTCTTTAGAAGAAGTGCGAGGTTGTCTGCTTTCATTGAAAGTGTTATTAATGATTGTGTCGTCTTTCCCGTTATCTACCGTTACAACGAGGTGGGACCGCCTCCGTGGTCTAGTAGTAGAGCGTCCGCCCGGAGATTCCGGGGTTCGATTCCCGGCTACGTCATACCAAAAGATGTTAAAGGATGGTACTTGTTGTTATCCTGTCTGGCGCTCAGCATTAAGGGGCTAAAATAAGGACTGGTCGGTATACTGTGTCACGTGCATGCACGCCGCTATAAGTGCAATAATCTTGGATGCGACGTCAAACCCCACCTCACCTCACCTCACCTCACCTCACCTCAAACGAGATGGGACACAGTTTCATC